TGTTCTCACCAACATGGAGGGACTGATGGAGAATGCAAAGCTCAAGCCAATGCCTTGACTGCAGTGAATCCTGAGGGCAGCGAGGAGGGTGCAGAGCAAGCTCGCTACCCTGGACTTCAAGAGAGCAGACCCTGGCATCTTCAGGGATCCGCCTGGTAGATTACCAGGGGATGAAGCCCTGGAGGGAATAGAGGCCCAAGAAAGCTTGTTAATATTCAAGGATAATCCCCTCAAAGCTCAGTACCAATACCTCCCAACAAAGAGAATGTCAGGGAAAAATGCCATGAGGCTTGCATGGGTGAACAAGGAGCTGCAGGACAAACTCAAGCACAAAAAGGAAGCCTACAGAAGGTGGAAGCAGGGGCAGGTAGCCTGGAAGGATTACAGAGGAATTGTCTGAGCAGCCATGGATCAAGTTAGGAAAGCTAAAGCCCTGATAGGATTAAATCTCTCCAGGGCAACAATAAAAGGTATGTTGGAGACAAAAGGAAGACGGGAGAATGTGGGACCTCTCCATAAGGAAACGGGAGACCTGGTTACCTGGAATGTGGAGAAGACTGAGGTACTCAATTACTTTTTTTAGCTCAGTCTTCACAGGAAAGTATTTAAGCCACACAAGGCAAAAGCAGGGACTGGGAAAATGACGAACTGCCCACTGTAGAAGAAGTTCAGGTTTGAGACCATCTAAGGAACCTGAAGGTGCACAAGTCCATGGGACCTGACGAGATGCATCCATGGATCGTGATTAGGTCCTGATGGATGAAGTTGCCAGGCCACTATCCATCAGAGAAACTGTGGAGGTCTGGTGAAGTTCCCACTGACTGGAAAGGAGGAAACACAATCCCCATTTTTAAAAAGGGAAAAAAGGAAGACCTGTAGGAGAACTACAGGCTGGTCAGTATAATGGAACAGATCCTCCTGGAAATGATGCTAAGGCACATGGAAAACAAGGAGATGATTGGTGAAGCCAGCATGGCTTCACTAAGGCCAAATTGTGCTTGACAAATTTGGTGGCCTTCTATGATGGGGTTCCAGAACTGGTGGATAAGGTAAGAACGGCAAGTGTCATCTATCTGGACTTGTGCAAAGTGCATGTGCACGCTGTCGTGCATGACATCCTTGTCTGTAAATTGGAGAGATGTATTTGACAGATGGACCACTCGGTGGATAAGGAACTGTCTGGATGGTCACACTCAGAGGGGGGTGGTCAGTGGCTCAGTGTCTGAATGGAGATCAGTGACGAGCGGCGTTCCTCAGGGTTCGGTGTTGGGAGTGTTTAACATCTTTGTCAGTGACAAGGATGGTGGGATTACATGCACCCTCAGCAAGTTTGCTGACGACAGCAAGTTGTATGATGCGGTCAACATGCTGGAGGGAAGAGATACCAACTAGAGGGACCTGGACAGGCTGGAGAGGGGGGCCACTGCCAGCCTCATGGAGTTCAACAAGGCCAAGTGCAAGGTTGACATGCCCCTGTCCTCCTCACGTTCTGTCTTCTTCATTTGCATTTGGGAGGACTTCTTCCTCCAGCTTCCATCTGCTTCCCTTAGAAGCTCCAGCTCACATCTTTGCTTCCTTTAATGTTTTTGAAAATATACTTTCTTATGAATTGTGTGTTGTTGTGAAAATATTTATACATGCTCACACACTTATTTGGTACGTGAGCCTTTTAGTACTTTCAGAGGCAGGTGAGAATAGTGGTATAAGCCCATGGTCAGTAAGTAATCATTGACAAAGGTATTTAAATTGGTCTTGGAGTCTAGCACTAGTTCAGTAATTCCACTTTGCTCAGGACGGGTATTTAGTGTGCGTGGGAACCGAGTAAGACAATAGTGCTCCAGTGAACATCTTGCTTACATTTCTGAGAGCTACCAACAAGATTTAAAAAAAGTCAAGCTGTGGAGTAAATTTTAGAGCAGAATTGGATAAAAGACACAGTTGTGACAACATTGCTCTGCTGAATATCCAGTGTTCTGCATATTATGAATACAGATATGAATCACAGATCTACTGTGAAATACAGCTCTTCAAGAAAGGGATTTCTCTCACAAGCTTCAGGTCTGCTGCTCTTCCAGGAATCCTTGCAGAGAAGGGCTAACGCATGAAACAGTAAGAGTGCTGATGTGTGGGTAAGATGGGCTGAAGCAGCCCGTCTCCCAGATAGAAAGAAGGTGTGTGAAGTACCTGTACTATTGCATTCATGCTAGCACTGCTGTCTGTCATGTTGGGTATGTTGTTCACCTCAGGCAGAATACAAAGTTGGGAAAACCTGGGAAGTAGTTCCTAGGCTGGAGAGAATGGGGAGACAGGAGGTGAGAATGTGCAAATTGCAGGACTTTTCCAGGTCTTGAGTCAAAACGTTGATCTCTGTTTCACACCTTGAATTTGAAAAGTAGCAAATGCAGTGAAGCATTTCCCCAAGAGAACGATCACAGGGTGAATCAGGAGATGTAAGTTTTTGAGTTGATATTTTCACAAGATGTGCTGTACTTTCCCAATAACAGCCCAATAGCTTTCATGGAAGTATTAAGAAAGGAGCAAAGATGAAAAATGCAGCTTCAGTTCTTTCAGACTTGCAAGTGAGTGCCTTGCTTTTGTACCTATTGCAGTTATTAAGGGAAGAACAAACTAAATTCTGAGATAAGACTGTTGAAGGCTTTGAATCTATTTAGACATTTTCTTATTTTTGAAAATAAATTCCTTATCGGTGATGTGAAATACATTCCTAATAGCCAGTTGGTTTCCCCCCCACCCCCCCACTTCTCCCCTATTGTTTCCTGACAGCATGCAGCAGATGGTAGTTTTTAACTGATGAATTGATGTTTCAGGTAGAAAGGCAAGATGGATCTTTGAAACTGATAATCTCATGAGACAGACTCCAAACTTTGTTTTCACAGTAGCAGACTTGGGTATTACCAGTTGGTGTGACTTCTGTAGGCAGGATTTTATGAAGAAAGGAGTATTTTATCTAAAGTGATGAACCTTGCTTTCAGAAATCTCTTGGAGCTTCAGCACTGCTATGGGGAAATAATACTGCAGTCCACCATTTCAATCCTGCTTTATTAATAATCATGTAGTTACTGGGAAAAAAGTTACTTTGCATATTCCAGCTTAAAAGTGCAGTGTCTGAAGTGTGTAGGCATACACTGTGTATGTGATGGCATAAGGAGACCTTGTTGCAGCCTTCCAGTGCCTGAAGGGGCTACAAGGAAGCAGGGGGGGACTTTTTACAAGGGCCTGTAGTGATAGGACAAGGGGTAATGGGTTTAAAATGAAAGTGGGGAGGTTTAGATTAGATATCAGGGAGAAATTCTTCACAGAGAGGGTGGTGAGGCACTGGAACAGGTTGCCCAGAGATGTTGTGGATGCCCCATCCCTGGATGTCTTCAAGGCCAAGCTGGATGTGGCTTTGAGCAACCTGGTCTAGTGGAAGGTGTCCCTGCCCATGGCAGGGGGGTTGGAACTAGATGATCTTTAGGGGCCCTTCCAACCCCAATGATTCTATGATTCTATGATTCTATGTCTGTGGTAGGGTCTTACAGCAGGATAGTTTAGGAAAAGCTTGTGCCTACCGTCTAGTCTCACTTGGAGGGAGCAGGACTGCAGTGCTGAAAGGATAATGGCAGTCTAAACAAATGGTAGGAAGGGTTGCATAGCTGTCGAGTAAACTGTATTTATTGTAATGTGTTGGGTGGAAGTGCAAAGTTCTTACACAGAATTTTGTGTACAGGGGTCAAGTTCCTGCCGAGGCAGAAGTGAACTACTTAGGGGTGGCCAAATCACTGGAAATGTATGGAGTTGATCTTCACCCTGTTTATGTAAGTATTGTTTGAATATTTTAAACTTACTAACAATGAGAAAAAACCCCATCTTATACTAATGTGGGGAAACACTGTACCTCAGAAATGCAAAGGGAGACATAGGTACGGACTGAGAGTATTCAGTCAATCACGTACAGAAGCCTAATAGTTTTTAGATGGAAGGCTGTGGTTGAATACACCTAGAAAAGACAGTCAGTTACACTCTGGAAAAAACAAATCAGATAAATAAGAAGTAATTAGTGCAATTGTCAGGATTGATGAGAGAGGGTTATAACCTTTGTCTTTGCCACAAGAATTTGCATGTTATTATTCCATAAAAAACCAGCAAGTTTGTCCTGAAACCTTTTCAATACCTTTACAAAAAATGAGGGTGGGATAGCAGCAGCATATCTGGCTTTTTTTAATATGAATTGTGAAGGTTCTGCTGAAGATCCAGAGCGTGTTTCCAGCTTTTCCTCTGCTGTATCGTGCAGCACTGCAAGTTGTCTATATTGCCTCAGCAAAACCGTCCACTTCTTTTGTAAAACAGCATGTATGTTGGGATTGGATCCAAGTCATCACCTGGAGGCTACGTGCTCCTGGTGGAAACATCATTCTATCTTGTTTGAATAATTGTGCTTGTGGCATTTTTTTGTGTGTGTGTAAAAGAAAATCAGAAGTTCAAATGGGGATTTGTAATGTAGATAGTTCACTGAGTTAGATGTCAGTGCTTTGTAAAATTACTTCAAAGAAAATAAAGAAATCAAGATACTAGCAGAAGATTAAGTATGTATTTCCTGCTTTTTGCCCACAATATGAAGGATTTTTTTAATGCACCCTGTGGCTTAATTGTATTCATACAATTCATCCCATGCTCTGTGTCCCTCCCACCCTAAGAAAGCTGGGAGATATATTGGAACAAGATTCAACATGATCCAACAAAATCGGGTTAAATCATCAGAGCCTGGAATTTTTTTTTCTCATAGCTTGCTTTTGCTGTGCAATGCAGTCCCTGCTTGGGTAATGAGGGGTGAGTTGTGATACAACCAAATCTAACCCATAAATGTTGTCATTTCTATGTGTATTGCAACAGCAACAGAAGACCTTATTTGAGACTGAAGCTGCACACATGACGAGATGTTGTTCTTTTCCTTGCTTTGTCATATTGAAAGTAAAGTTGCCTTTAGCAGTGAGCTGCCAGAGGAGCACAGGCAGAGCTCGGCAGGTGTGCTGGACCTTTCTCACATCAGTAGTCATGTAGAAGGACACTTTCTACAGTCCGTCCCTCTCTGAGTTTATACTTTTTGTGGTCTGTGCACTGCTGGTTTAGAGCTTGCGTGGCTCTTCCTTGTTGCCTCAAGTAGGCAGATGAATGAGCTTTTGCAGCTAACTTTCTTTTAAACTTATGCACCAAGGTTTGGACTCTTTCAAGTACAGGATGCATCTGATTTTGGTTACTGACTGTAAATTGGGGAGGTGGAAGCCTTCTGCCACTCCGCACTGGGTTTTCACCCTGTTCTTTCCTGGTGCCGTTTGGAGTTTGGATACTGGCCTCAAGAATAGTTTCCTTTGGAGGAGATGATGCAGGCAGCTGTCCTTGAATATTGCTACCCATTCTGAACTGTTTTAGGAGGGAGAAGGCAGCTGTGAGGTTATACTGTAGTGTAGAATAGGCCAGAAAATCACTGCTTATCTTCAGTGGAAAGTTAGAATGTCTGTTGCATTCACATCTCAAAGAATTTAGTTGCAGAGTTTTGGCTGTTTGCCGAATCGCTGAAAGTAATTCCTTTAAAAAGAAAAGTTATTTTTGTTTTATACCATGGCATGTGGAGTCTACCGTTCTTTCCCTCAGTGCTGTTCTTTCTTGCCTCCTTGCCTCTGTGCCTACAAGTTCTCGTACAGGAGTTTTTGTCAGTAGACCAGCTACTATTTTCCCACTTTCACAGAGTGAAGCAGTTATGTTAAAGTCAGTCACCATGCTGGCTTCCTCACTACACCTCACAGCTACAGTGATATAACTTGCAACTGTGTGAATGACATATATTTTTATTTTCTAGGGTGAAAATAAATCTGAATATTTTTTAGGATTAACACCCATAGGAGTTGTTGTCTACAAGAATAAAAAACAAGTAGGAAAATACTTCTGGTATGTATATTTTAAATGTGCAGTCTGTGATAAAACAGTAACAATGTTGTTGTATGGAAATGTATGATTTGTGATACCTATTTGAAAGGGTAACTATCAATTAAAAAAAAAATACTTGGAATTCCTAATATTTATCAGGATTATACAGATTTTTAATTCTTTGATAATCCAAGTATTAAAATAGTTCACCTTTACCATACTCATGCTGAAATGTTTAAATACTGCTAATTTATTGTACTAATTCTAGTACATACCTGAAAAAAAAAGATCTACTTGTGAATTCCTTTTTATCTTTGTATGTAAATATATACACCTTTATTACGCATGAAATTAATAGCTCATGAAGTCCTGTCTGTCTTTTTTCCAACATTACAGGCCTAGAATTACAAAAGTTCACTTCAAGGAAACGCAGTTTGAACTTAGAGTCCTTGGAAAAGATGTAAGTTTTTATTTAAGTCTGAAAGAAAAAAAAAAGGAATCCAAGGTCTAATGAAGTGGGAAATTTTCTGTGTCCATCAAAGTGTAATTTACTTTATTGAAATCTAGTTCAAGAAACCATCAAAGTGAAGTTACTTTTATTGATAGTTACTGCAAGAAAATTACCTTATCTTGAAGTGTACTGATGGTGCTTGCAGTTTTATTAAAGAATGAGGAGGAAGGAAGATTTTCTGTCCATGTTTTGCAGGCAAGGGTAGAGAACTTCAGCAGAACAGTACCAAAATTGGAATTTTATCACAAACCTTTATCATTTTGTATCATTCTCTGTAAATTAAAGGAGCCTACTTCTGCAATGCCTTGTTTATGGTGTTGCATAGTTCTTTTAAACTAGGCTAAATCTCCAGGGAAAGCTAAGATTAACCAGAATGTGAATGGAGAAAAACTCACAGAGCTGTTAGGCACAAGTTTGTACGCTGGAAACAGAAGCAGCCACATAACATACCTCGAAACCCGTTTGTCAGAGTTTAACTTCATTGTGCTGTTGGACCATTTGAGAAGAAACAGAGTTGGTTCCAGTGGAGCAAGGATAGCAGGTTGATAGCAAGAGAAGGAGTTTTAAGGTAGTCATTAGAAATACCACCTATGAAGCATGTGGGGCAGGGCGAGGAGGAGGAGGATGTTGAGGAAGCAGGGAAAATTATGAAGTGTAATAAACCAAATAGTTGCAGTCAGTCTGTGATTTTTGGTATCTGGTTGAGTTAGAAGTTTAGTTTGTTGAGTTATTTTTTTGAAAATACTTTTTAGGTCTCTTTGTAATATCAGGACTGAAAGTTGATACTTTTGAGGAAGTATTAAACTGCTGGCAATATTCCCCTTTACTGATTGTCTGCATATTTTCATGCATCTGGGTAGTGGTTATTAGTCTCATCTATGGTTTTTCCATGGGGCCATTTGGTATGTTCGATGAATTCTGGGAAATGTAAGTGTATCCTTGACGGGCGGTGTTGCTTCTATTGTGGACAGCATTTTTTGTGGCTCTGCAGATGTATGGGCAGGTTTTGCTTTTGTTACTCCCAGGTGACTTGTTTCTATTTGGTGTGGTGATCTATGGGAAGTTTATTTCTGATGGTGTGTTTGTTGAAACCGGAGAGTTGTTTGAAGGCTGGGGGAAGGTTGGGAAAACTTGGAGGGTGAATACCTGTTCGTGTGTAAACAAGTCTGAGTTTGACCTAGAGTGAACTGTATTGAGGCGATGCTGTAGTTCCTGTTTGATGCCAGACATGTACAGTTTTTGTCTGAACCATGTGGAATTGCAAAGGTTTAACATGCTGAGCAGAAAACCTGGGAGCTTTGGAAAACATGCTTAAGTTGAGACGGTAAATGTTGATGGCTGGTGAGCACTTACTGTTGTGATCATTAGGCAAACAGTTTTGACAGCACTTGGTAATTTCAGGTCTTGACAGGTACTTTTAGGAAATTGTTCAAGAGAACAGTAAGTACAAGGGTGTGTACCATCATTAAAATCTCCTTTGCAACTAATACTCATTTGAAGTGTTTCTACAGTGCTTCATATTCTAACAAGATCAGGAAAGGCCAAAATGGCCCAGAAAAATCTTCTTCTCCTTTTTTGAAAACATTTTGGTGGTGTTAACGTTGAACAAAATGATGCATTGGAATAAGTAAACAGTAGCCTTAGTCTCCAGATTAAAGCTGTCATAACAATTTATGCTGTTCTGCACCCAGAGGAAGGAAAGCTCATCAGTGTGTTTATATGACTGGATGTTCCAATACTCCTTGAATACTTAATTCAAAAATGTCTTTTATTCCTCTGGTTTTTGGAATAAATGATATCATTTTGTCCTTCCATGTGGGACATGAGTTTACAGTATATGATAGGAGAGTAAACATTCCGTTTTTACATCATACTGCCACCTGGGTTACCACTTTATGGCCCGGGGAATTAATGCTTTCCTTGTTTCAGATGTGGTATACCATGTCTGGAACATGTTATGCGTTTCCAGTTGGTTGGAGAGAACACCAGGAGGGATTCGGGAAGAGAAGAATCAGTGGCGAATTTCCGTTGTCTTAGGGCTTTATGACATACAGCGGAGGAGTTAACGTCATGTAATAAGAAGAGCAGATTATTTCTGAGTATACTGAGTGCTTTGTGTGAATCAGGTTTTCCGTATGGTAGTGAGAAGTCTGTGCAGGCTGGGTTTTGCTTCATGTTTCCACACACTAGCTTCCTTTATTCACACTGGCGGGCACCTTTTCGTGGGTACACCTGCTCATCAAGAGGAAGCTGTTGATGCTTTTAGGATCAATGAGGCGTTGCTCTCCCCCTGCCCAGGGTTACTTGCCTTAACTTCTTTGTTCTCCCTTTGAATAAATTTTTCTGAGATTTTCGAGGCTCCCTAAAACTGTGGGGTGCCTGTGTCAGCCGTATATATGGCTGCTGAGTTTGTTGTTTACATTGTTTCACATTTCATAAGCTTGATGGTTTACTGACCAGAAGATTACTCATGCTTACTGTACTATAATAAAGGTGTTTCACATTTCCTGTTTTATAGTGTAATCTCTTGTATTTCTTCATCTCTCTTCCATAAGAACATTTCCTGACTACTTAACTTCTTTCTGTTTTTCCTATTTTTCCTGTTGCTGTTGTGTGCAAGCATGACCATTGGTATTTTGGTTTTATCTTTAAGTATTTTGCTTGTATTACATGTATTCTCCCCAAGGGTATTGCTATTGCCCTTTCATTAACAAAATACTGCTCTTAATATTTGGCCTTCCCTGACTTACCCTGACATGTGAGACTAATGACCTGGACCAGCTGACAGAAACTCCTTTTCAGTGGTGTTAATCATTGAATCAGTATCTTATTGTCCTGGGAGTGGACTCATGCTGTGAAATCTGAGCTAGAAACAGAGGTTTTCTGTGAAACCTCTAAGCATCAGCATGGAATTAGGAACCTTCCCTTGCGAGGACTGACTCCCTGAACACGACAAAAAAGCACAGAGAATTTTTGAGAAGGAGAAATGTGTAATTTTGTAAAATGAGAAATGTGTATTTTTGTACAGTTCCTTTAAGAAAACCAAGAGGTCCCTCTGAAGCCGGTGTACAGTTCCTGGGAGCATAGATGTCTGTTGAGCAACCTTGCTGGAAACGATCCAGCAATACAGGTGGCTGCCAAAGCCACCCCCTGCCCAATGCACCAAAATGGAGCCTAATCGTAACGAGTGCACAGTATCGAAGGGGTGCACAGCACACCTCCTGTGCTTTCCTCATGTGAGGAACATGGATTGCTTCCTGGATTTTTCTCTCAGTGGAGGACATGAAACACACCAGAGAAAAACAGGCTTTGATAGATTGTGTAGGCTGTGAACGTGAACGTAGTAACGTGCAGGAGTGAGAGACGTGGAGGTGTTTTGCCTGTAGGTACCAAGTGCTTCTGTGCTGTTCCCCACAACCCCAAACTGTTTTCTGTAACAGCGCCCTTTACTTGGGCTGCACTGTGTCTGAACATGCAAGTGAATGATTTCACTCCTTCGCAGAGTTTATGCAAAGCTTCTATACTTGTCACTTTTCATGTTTCTCTTTCACCAAACCAGAAAGTGTTGAATGTGCAAAACACTCGCTTTCATTATTTTTTGTCGTAAGAGAGGATCATTTGGAAGTCTGAAACTTTTGTTTTGAGGGATTTTGAATTTTGCGTTCTTTTAAAGTCAGAAAAAACCGCCCCAAACACTGTATTTAAAAATTATTTACACATTTTCAAGACATGCCTTCCTCTGTAGTGTTGCTTAGTCAGATGAAGAGGCCCTGCTCAGCTGAATTCGTAAGGTGAAGTTGGTGAAGACTGTTTTCAGGAGCAATACCAACCACTGATGCATGCTGGAGCAACTTCAGGGCAATTACAAAGCACATAGTTCTCCCCATTTGGGTGGGTGAAACTTTTCTAAATACAAGTTCTTTTAAATAATCTCAAAACCCCCTGGAAATATTATTTGTAGGTTTTAATCTGCTTTTTGTAAGTGCTGGAAGCCTGAAGATTAATTACATTAATAAGGTGGTTCAGCTGTACCCCTTCTTGTCCTGTCACATGCTACATTCCATCATGAGTTACAAGTTCTAGGCAGGAACTTTTGATTTGATTTATACCTCTCATAGTTTCTTGGGAAGATTGAACAGGGTTTGATGAGATGTGCCTCCCATTCTGAAGTCCAGTTTAGCTTAGATTTCAATTCCAGACACACGTAGCATTTTTATCTGCATTATGGTTTAAGAGTTACAGATGACTGTATCCTTTACATTTGCACCCACTTAAGCCAGGGTGGAGGTAAGCAAGCACAACAGGGTTAATGCATCATACAGAATGGTTTTGGCTTGGTTTGGTTGGTTGGGGGTTTTCTTGGCTTTTTTTGCTTGCTGAGCCACCTTTGAAGGATTGTAAGATTGGTTCAAGGCTGGATAGCAAAATCTTCAGTAATGAACGTTTTTGAAGGAGAACTAGGATTACATTCCTGCATAAACCTCAGTTCATTGCCACTAAGGTGTTACGGTTAGCTTTTTTTATTTAACTTCTTCTTTAGTCTTTTTTTTAACTGGTTTAGTAACAAGGCTGAGATACGTTTGTTTGAATCTTGACACGCTTTATGCAAACTGGCACAGCATTATTTATTTTAATTCCTGACTTGTATAATGTTCTTAAAGATTGACTTTGTGTAACCAGTGATAATACATTGTCTGTTAATGAGCTACGACTGGTATGCATTATGTAAATACGTAAAGACAGAGTATTTCCTATTGGAGTTAACAACCGATAGTGTTCAGGTATGTGCCTAACCTGGCAAGAATAATGTGGGGAAGCAGTACCTTCAGACCTAGTGTTAATATTTCTGTTACATGTACATGCACGTGTATTACACGTACGTGCAGTGTGCTCTGTAATGGGGCAAGATCCCTCCTTATGCTGTATTCATAGTGTGACTGGGAAGAGTG